AAACTACAAGTAAAAACTTTTCAACATAACTTATAGCTTATGTGTTCACTCATTCAAACAAAAACTGCAAGTAAAAACTTTTCAACATAACTTATAGCTTATGTGTTCACTCATTCAAACAAAAACTACAAGTAAAAACTTTTCAACATAACATAGCTTATGTTTTCACGTATTTAGCTTCGCCCCTCTACATGAAAAAGAGTAAAAAATTCTATATTATGATAGTAAAGACTGTTAGATTAAAAACGAAAAGCGTAGTATTATAATACCAGATCTGTAAAATATTGACGTAAACGTGCGCATGGTTTCTGACAAAGTTTATTTTAGATTTTAACAAAATCTTTTAAAACAGTAATGAAAAAGGTCTGACTATTTTTACAACTTGTTATATTTTATAGGGTTTTCTCATTTATACGATATTTTTATATTGTTTGGACTTACAATTTTAAAGTATAAGTGGTGTTTTATTTTAGCTCAGTAACTTATTTTTAGGTACAATTGTTTTTGAAATTGTTGACTAATTGATTTTTCTTCGTACCACGATATTGACCTGTATGATGATTAATCCGTTACAGCTATAAGTTGTGAAAATAATTTACTAGTTCAGTTTTGTTATAAAAATGCAAGTTTGTAAAGTTATTACTGACGTTGTGAATGTTTATTTCCCAAAGTTCACACATATTAGATTATTCTCATGAGTGAACTGCATAGTTGAAAGTTCACGTATCTAACTGGAAGAGAGAATTAAATGACACACAAATCCTAAAAAAATAAAAAAAATAAGTTAAGCCAACGGCTTTTTTTCTAAAGCTGACGTTCTTAATAAAGATGTCGTTACGGATGTTAAGAAAAGCTTCTTCCTTTAGTGCAGATAGGATTACAGACCTCTCGTTAACCTTCTTAGCTTTAGTGGGGGAAAGCCAAGCAGGTCAGTAGAGAACAAATTATAAATCGGACAGATGTCGGAGTGCAAACTAGCTGACGCTCCTGAAGGTCAGGTGGTTTCTGACTGATGTAGATAATATTAGTATTTCTACCACGACGTAGAAAACAGGTGGGTTTCCACTTTGGTGTGTCGGCTGGGGTATTGAGAAAAAAAAAATAAACTGATAACTTCTAGCAGTCCCACGTGACGTGGGTTTCCACCTACACAACTCGTACTCCAAGTGCTGTTTCTCCCATTCATAACTGTTTTAGTATACAGAGTTAGGTGATGATCACAGTTTATGGTGTAATTGTAGTCAATCTCACAATAAAGCGTTCTATCTCCGCCTCCGTTGACTGGAACCAACTGTATAAAGATACTATAGTCGTTTTATATATTAACAGAAGTTTATGTCGAAAATAATCGTTTCCTCGCTTTCAATCGTAGGTAATCTCTTAGTGCCAGTTTTCAAATCAAACGTACCGTCTTCTATTAATTTGCATTATTTTTATAATTATTTCAAATTAACTGATGTAATGTTCTGAGTTATACGTACACAAGATCAACTGAACTAATTGGTGTGGTAATGTTTTGAGTTGCACGTACACAGGATCAACTGAGCTAATTGGTGTAGTAATGTTCTGAGTTGCACGTACACAGGATCAACTGAACTAACTGGTGTAGTAATGTTTTGAGTTGTACGTACACAGGATCTCCTCTGTACGTACAACATAAAACATCACTACACCAATTAGCTCATTTGACCCTGTGTACGTACAACTCAAAACATTACTACACCAGTTAGTTCAGTTGATCCTCTGTACGTACAACTCAAAACACTACTACACCAATTAACTAATTTTCAACTGAACCAACTGGTGTGGTAATGTTTTGAGTTGTACGTACACAGGATCAACTGAACTAATTGGTGTAGTAATGTTTTGAGTTGCACGTACACAGAATCAACTGAACTAACTGGTGTGGTAATGTTTTGAGTTGTACGTACACAGGATCAACTGAACTAACTGGTGTGGTAATGTTTTGAGTTGTACGTACACAGGATCAACTGAGCTGATTGGTGTAGTAATGTTCTAAGTTGCACCTACACAGGATCAACTGAACTAACTGGTGTAGTAATGTTTTGTTTTGTACGTACAGAGGATCCACCACACATGTTATTTTCGATATATCAGTTTTAGAATTGTATTGTGAAGTTTATTAGTTAAGTGTTTTAGTTATAATATCCTTAAAAAGTTCGTAATGTAGTTCTCTGTTTTAGTTCATGCACTTCGTATAATGTTGTTTGATTGGAGTACAGTAAACCTCAAAGACATGATAATACACATATACTGTCAGTTGTTTGATTAAGAGAACAGTAATCCTTATAGACGTGATAATACACATATACAGTCAGGAAAAAAGGATATGGGGTAAATTATTTTATTGATTTTTTTTAGCTTTCTCATTTATATGATTTTTTATATTAGTTAGACGTATTTTAAAGTATTAGTGGGTTAGAGCATTTATGTTGTACACTTATATAATATAGAAGTTTATTGCCCTAATTTTGAGGCATAATAAAATATACCTGTAAAAGCATTGCATTGATACCATTATTAAATTGCCATTCACTCAATAGAAGTATTTTTTAAGATATTTTGAAGCCAGTAATTACCCAGCATTAATTTTTAGGCATTTAATAGCCTAAAACCTGGTGGCTCAACGATAAGCTTGGGGCTACAACGCTAAAATTTGGGATTCGATGATTACCGAACAGATAGCCCATTGTGCTGTTTTACTCTTATCGATAAAGAAACTAAGCCTTACTAGGGTATATAATATATATTTGTATACACAGAGGCTTCATTCTTAGTTTTAACGTAGTCTCAGAAAATCCCCCCCCCCCCTTTTTTTAATTAGCATCTAATATATATAAAGGTAAGTTTTTGTCAGTTTGTTAGCACCTTTCAGTCATCTGTTCCTTATACGTTTCCACATTTCTTGATCAATCAGCACCAAATTTGACACAGTGATATAGGATAACATGAGGAAGGTCATGCAGAGGGGGTTGAACCCTCATCTTCCAGATAAATAAACGTCAATATGTGTGTGTATCTGTTCCTTTTACGTTTCCAAATTTCTTGATCAATCAGCACAACTTGACACAGTGATACAGGTCATGAGTAGGGGGCTTTGGACTCCACAGCTAATTTAGTATTGATAGAATTCTTGAAAACAGCATGTCTTTCTTTTCAGTATTGGTACCTTTATGTATTTTTATTGTACTTTTAATGTTTATTATGTTAAGAAAAAAATAGAAGCACAATTTCCTATCCTTTGTTACAAACGAGTTTTTATTTCACCCAACCAGACTGGTACTCCAACTGGTTTTAAATAATTTATACCTTTTTTTTTGTATAGATCTATGGAAGAAATCTTCACTGAAATCAAATTGTTCTGTAGAACCAATACCAGAAAACTACTTTGTAGAAGATCTAAGAGGCAGTGAGTTACATCTACTTGTGGCTAGTACAGCAGATCAACGGGATAGTGGAGGTCACATTTCTTTCTTGAACATATGGTTAACACTACTGATTGTCGCAGTAGCAGCAGCAATTTTATCTTGACCACTTGTGTGATGAATATCCTCGTGTTTTCTTACGAGTGGACCAGCATTTTAGAGTATCTATTCTGGTAGAATTTATCTAATGCCAGATACTGTAGATAATCAGTCCACCAAAGTTCGACATGGGGGGTGCCTACCAGATAATGTGAATAATCAGTTCACCAAAGTTTGACAGTGGGGGGGGTCTACCGGATAATGTGGATAATCAGTCCACTAAAGTTCGACATGGGGGGTGCCTACCAGATAATGTGGATAATCAGTCCACTAAAGTTCGACATGGGGGGT